TAATAAATACTGTAATTAATTAAACTTAAGATATAAGTCAGAGAAACTCATTTTTTATTTTGACATTTTTTTTTTTAAATTGACATTCACCTTTAAATTCTAATATTAGTTTCTTCAAGTCTTTCGTCTTATGTATGCGTTTTTTACATCTGAATAGAATACCAGTCAACAGATCACAATTAAACCTGCATGGCTGCATCACTGTGACACTGACGCTAAAATAAAATATTATTTACAGGATACTAGTCATCTGAAGAAGGTCAGCACAATGGGATTCAACGGTACACACGTTTCCTAGACTTGCACTAATTCTCTTGAACCACGCAAAGGAGAGGAGCACGTGAACATTCAGAAGTCGCTATTTTTGGGAATTCAAAGTTGCTTGCAACTGAAAGTGCTGTTAGCCAAAAGTAAGCATGTATGCATCATCAACAGTTGTGCACACCGCATGTGTAAATTGTATTGTTTTAGGTGATTAAAATGATTCTAGGGTGAGAGTTGAAATAAAAAAATAATATTAAAAAAATTTACTGGTTTCTATATGTATGATTGTAGGTAGTGACACATTTTGTGAAGATGAATTATTGGTAGGATTCAAGTTAGAATTATGATTTTAGGACTCTATTTGTAATATTATGTATTTATGGAGGACATCGAGGTAATTAAAGGAAGTAAAGGTGAAATATCTTGTCTTGATAAAAAATGGTGGCTTGGACTTAGATGATTGAATTAGAAGTTTTTGGTACTTAACTAGAGGAATTGGCAAAGTTAATAATTAAGTAGCTTTACTTTAGAATTAATTAGACCAATGGGATAGTTGGCTATTTTAGACTTAATATTAGTTAATGAAAGATTAATTAAGTTTAATTTGTAATCTCTTACAATTTTGTAGTTAGGTTTAATTATGATCTTATTTACAAGGATTAAAAATTAAAGTCCTTAAAGAAACAAAGAGAACAAAATTGAAGAATTAAGTTGTCTTCCGCCCCCCTTAAAACCCGTGACCAATGGAAGAAAGAAAGCTTGGAGTTTCTTGCAATTTTTGAAGGAGAAAAGTTTGGAGATTCATGGTGATGACCTGGAAACTTTTATTCCTTTGATTTGAAAATAAAAAAAATGTTATCCCTTTTTATTTAATTTATAATTAGATGTATATAAAAAAAATAATACACAAAAATCGACTCATGACATTGCTTTTACCCAAGAAACACAAACCAACAAACCTCAGGTTTGGAACCTGAGTGTTTGCAGAGCAAACGCTCGACCACTAAATTAAACAACCAAAAGCAAAGCCGAACTTCAAAGAGTCACAGCTGGACGAAATGTGGACTGCTCTCAACGACTGCCCCACATTCAGACTCCAACTGGTGTGCGTTTTATTCAATATACTACTCCTACTTAGCATCTAGATGTTTCTGATTTTTTATTTGTTCCGAAACTTTTTAATCTTTCTTTTAATTTTTTGTGTTAATAGTGATGTAATCTGATGGGAAGTTATATAATATCAAATAATTTTTTTACACATTTTAAAATTTAAATTTGTAAAATAAATTGAAATTTTAAAGTATTAAGATATCCCCCTAAAGATAGTTATATATTAACATATTTTGTTAGAGTTTGTGTTTCGTCATATTAAACTAAAGAATAATAATAAATGAGAGGAAATTTGAGATTAAAATTTAAAATTAAAATTTAAAATTAATGATGTAATATGAATTACATTATTTAATATATTAAAAATTAAATTATATATTCTTTAATAATTAATTTTTTTAAAAAAAATTTATAATATTATATGTATTAATTAATTTAATAATATAATATACACCACGGTTATTAGTTTTAAATTTTTGTTCTCAATTTTCATTCTTTTTGTTATTACTTTAAACCAAACAATTTAATTGATTAAAAAAATTATATATCTTTCTTCTTCTTCTTCTTTTTAATGAAACATATTAATTGGTTGAAATCTTAAAAGAAAAAGAAAAGGGCGTTGAGAGGAGAAATAAAGATTAAGACCTTGGTTATAGAGGTGAAATTAATTAATTACTCTACAAAATTTTTTCTTTAAATTTTTTTTATTTCTCTCAAGATAAACATATTATAATTTTATTACTAATCTAGTAAAAGACAGATGATTTACGTCTCTTCTCTCATCAAATATAAAATTTTAAAACAAAGCACAAAATGAAACTTATATATAGAAAGAAGTTATCATGCAATTGCCATATATAATATGAAAAAAAAAAAAATTGACTTCCAACAATAGTTAATTATACATAATGTGAAAGCCTTCCACAGATTCTATATCATTCGTGGAGGATAAAAGAGTTTACATTTGACCATAAGAAAATGAAGAATAGTGCAAAAGAAAAATAAAAACAAAATAAAAACAAAAAAAAAATTGTAAACTTAAATGAACTACCCACTAATTCAACAAAGTACAAAAACCAGATGAAATGCAAGCTAACAATAGCTAGTATTTTCTTTTCATAATCTTCTTTTCCTAACCGTAGCTGTCAAGTAATTGATTGAAAAATACAATTTCAAGGTCACAAATGTGGCAAGAGGTAAAAACAATAAAAGGCTTTCTAGAGATAGACCTTGCATTCTTTTGTTTTGAAGGCTCCCGGGGTTCCATTGCTAATAGCACAATCAACGTACGTTTATAGGGTGGATGAGAAAGCTAGGCTAATACTCTAATACCAAGCACACCGAGATGATTTCTCCAACCCATTGTCTTGCTTGCAAGCTTAACTTCTGCAAAACAGAAAAAATAGAATACAAGAATAACTGCTTGTGCATATACTAATTCTATTCAGATGGAGAAGTTAACCTTGCTATTCCAAATGGTCCTAGTTGAAACTAAAGGCCTGATTAGAAGAAACTTCTAAAATAAAATTAGAAATAAACATTCAAAGATAATTAAGAGAAAAGGAAAAATTAAAAAATCCTGACATTAAAAATTAATGTTTAATCATAATCACACGAGAAATTTGATAAACTTAAAATTCATTCTGTATCTCAGATATTTGATAAAGTTGTGACGTCTGATTTAACCTTGTTTTCATCAAGTAAAAATAAACGGAATCGTACCGGGCAGTTGTGTGTTTGGCTTCACTTTAACTTCTGGAAATGCGCTGTAAAAGAAAAAGGAAAAAAACCTCCGGAAATGCCAAAACGAACATATATATCTGCTTTTAACTCCTCTCTGTAACCCTCTGACTCCTTTAACTCCTCCCTTTTACGACTCTAACATCAAGTACGCTAAATTAAAGGTCAGATCCGAATAAAATTGGTTAAAAGTTAATCCACCAAAATGATTTGAAAACGGGAGACATAAAGACATGAATCTAATGAAAAACTAAACAAAGGAGATCTGAAAGAAACAGATATACTCGGAGCTAAAAAGCAACGGTGACGGTAACAACGCAACACAAGGCTGCCGACTTGATATCAGCAGACTGGGGGCAACTGGGCAAAGGAGTCCCCCGCTGCTCAACCACGTACACCTCCCACCTCCCTGAATTCTTTCCTTTGCACACACAACCGGACGGTTCATCGAAACCAGCCCGATTGGACACCAGATCTTCCTTTCCGCCATTCCACCTGTTGTCCGTTCCTCTTTGTTCCTCTCCCATTCGATCAATGAGCAAATCCCCATAACCGGCCGATTGTTCCTCTCCTTCAACCGTTCCACCTTCTCCCCCACTCACTCTTTCTTTCCTCGCTGGTGGCCGCTCCACTCGTTCCAGATCTGCCAACTCCCTCCTCCCCACACCCGTGAAGGTCAAAGAGAGAGAAAAAATGACCCAAACATATGAGCACGGTGACTTATATGGTATGAGTGGGACCCCAAGACACGTCACTAAAATCACCCAAACTAGCTTTATGAAAATGGGGTTCTAGCCTTCGTATTTATCAGTTAAAATTAATGAGTATATAATTTTTTAATAATTTTTTATGCAGTATAATTTTATTTATTTATTTTTATCTTAGTATAATTTTATTTATTAATAATTATTTTTTTAATTACAATAAGACCTATAATGTTATATATCTAAAAAAAAGTACACTTTGTGCATCATTACTAAATACAAAGCAGACAAACTCCACAAAACGACTTAATGATTATAGGTTAAATGCTTGATTTGGTCCCTTAACTTTAAGAAATGAACATTTTTGGTCCCTCAACAATTTTTTGCACTTTTTTGATCCCTCAACTATACGAAATGCACTCCGTTAGTCCTTCTGTTAATTTTGA